AGATTAGCTATAATGTAATTATCTTAATCTTCACTATCGTTACTTTTTGCCCAGCGAAGCGGGTCCTTGCAGCTAGATTCTAGATTACTTAGAAAAACAGTCTTTTATATATATAAAAAAAAAACTATATTACGTACAAATGTACGAACAAATAAAAATCCAGCAAAGCGGATCCTTGCAGCTAGTTTAAATATAAACATAACATCCAATAACTCATAAAAGTAAAATAAAAATTAAAAATTTTAACCTAAAATAACATTACATTCTAACATAAATGTGAAATTAAAAATAAAACTGAAATTGTAAATTTTAAATACAAAAATATCTTAGTGAATATGGCAACTAGGAGTTTCTTTAAAGGAGTTTCTTATTTACAATGAACTTCATGCTGATATTAAGCTATCCACATCTCTTGCATTAATGCATTTATCCTCCAACCTGTTCTTATTTATTACAATTTTTTGTATTCAGCACTAATGTCAGAGAGTGTAAGGTCTTAACTATCTCTGCTTCATCCCATTTTACAAGAAAGCCTTCAGCTTTTGTCATATGGATAGTACTATATCGCAAATGTCCTTTTTCACACTATATTGATGCTATTTAAGTCTAAAGGAGGATGCACACATGCGGCACGGCAGGAAAACTGGTATCACAAATGCATCTTCGTCACACGGCAGCACAACCACACAAGTGGCAATCCACTTACATTTTGGCACATGCGTTCAGTATTCAAGATGGCGAATGATACCGATGCACTGCTGCTATTCACCTGTTATAAACTTTGTTTTGTACAACTTGCATTATTTAACCAGAAAATTTTGTCAAAGATTTTGGATTAGAGATATTTTCTTGGATCGAGAAAGAACTGGTGTACAAAATAGGCTTATTTTTCAATTAAGATCTCTCTCGATAAAGAATATTATTTCAATAAGATTTGGTTGTTTTGTTCTTTGAATTAAATTATATATGATTATTTGTGTTAAATTTATTATCCTTTCCTCTTTATTCTGATGTTAGTTATCTTGGTTAACCGCATCAAACTTTCTGCCATTAAAAACACCAAGTGATTGTATTTTCTCATGTGACTACCAGAGGAACTGTTATTGGCTGATAGAAATGTGTCTTGGCAGTGGTCACTGCAAGATAGAATTCAACCAACTTTTGTGGTATGAGAAAAGCAACACAAAATCTACTTCTGTGGTGAGAAAAATGACATCATTCTGCCTCTTTTCTTTGCTGCACCACATGTATGCATCTTCCTTAACTCCCAAATTTCTTTTGGTAATGTCAGTATAATTCTTCTTTATTCCTAATTGCATGTTTTCATATCATATCTTGTACACATCTGCTTTTTCCTCTTTCTTTAACTTAACTTTGTCCTACCTCAATATACTGTAAATATTTGGCACTCTCTTGAAAATTAGTTTAGAGTCTTTGTTGTCTACCATTTCTTTCATAATGTACTTCATGTTCCTGTTAAAAGTAAACTTTGTGATTGTATTGAGTCTGCTGTTTTGAGTCTTTGGCCTGTTTCCTTCGTAACTTCTAATCAGTCCTGTTATTGTGCTAGTTTATGTCCCAGGGTTTTGGTCATTTCCTGAATTTTACTAAGTTCCTTCAGTTCTTTATGTCTAAAAAATATATCTTTAATGAACTCTTTTGTTTCATATTCAGTTTCAGTCTATCCTTGTTGTTATTAACCTTATCAAGAAAATCACTCTAATTCTTTTGTTACTTTTCCAAAGTTGTACACATTTTTTAAAATACACAATATCAACCTTGAAATCACTTGAAAAACTTGAAATACTTTTCTCCAGTTTTCTTAACACCAGTTCATATAATAACAATATCTAAACTAATTTTCAAGAGAGTGCCAAATATTTACAGTATATTGAGGTATGACAAAGCTAAGTTAAAGAAAGAGGAAAAAGCAGATGTGTACAAGATATGGTATGAAAACATGCAATTAGGAATAAAGAAGAATCATACTGGGAGTTAGACTTAAATAGCATCAATATAGTGTGAAAAACGACTTTGCGATTTAATACTATTGTGACTGTATGGTCGGCACCTCTTTGATGCCTTGCAGGATGACACCACTGTGTCTTGTGGGCAGACAGAAACCGGATTGGCCGTTTATCTCGTTATTTCAAACGGTCGCATGTGTGAACTTTAGGGTCCAGAAGGAGAGAACCAGAGGAAATATACTCCACAAATTTTCATATACATAAAAATATCCGTTTATTATTCGATACAGACTATTTACAGATTATATTTGATAGATGCTTAGCCAAAGCTAATCCGAAGCTGACATATTGTGTAACTACTATGACCCTAACAACAAGAAATAACGAGAGAGAGAGGGTTTACATTAATTCCACGGGAAGAAAAATACCTGTAGAATTCACAAAATGATAATCGGAGTTTTTCACACGTAGAGAATCTTGAAGTGGCGACGAATCTCTCGGAGTGGCGGTGATCAGGAGCAGTTAGGGCAGTGGCAAATAGCAAGCATTGGCCAACACATGCACAGTTCAAACTTAACTCCATGACTCTGTTCAACTCATCGACTCCCCTGAGAGGGTCTGCATTGGGTTTTTCCCATTGCCTTTTTAGGAATTTTTTCATCACTGTCCAATAGTTGAATTTTCTGTTGCAGATTCCAGATGACATACAATGTACCATCTTTAACCAGGAAATAAGTTCATGGGAAAACAGTTTAATTATCTTTAAAAATGTCAGTTTTTGTTTTATCTCTTTAATTAATTAATTTGTTTTCCCTCAACAAAAAATATATTTAAACAAAATAATTCCACTAAGTTCGGCTCCCACATCATCCAGATGTCACAAGCCGAAGGCTTTCTGGTAAAATGGGATGAGGCAGAGATAGTTAAGACTTTACATTCTCTGACATTAGTGCTGAACACAGAAAATTGAAATATATAAGAACAGGTTGCAGGATAAATGCATTAATGCAAGAAATGTGGATAGCTTACTATCAGCATGGAAGTTCATTGTAAAAAAAGAAGTTCCTTTGAAAACATTACAGTCATAATAATAATTAAAATGTGAAAAAATTAGCTGTTTTACATTTTTCTGATTTTGACATACTGGTATTTATTTAATAATTAAAGAAATATAAAGTTAAGGAANAAAAAAATTATACTTTAGAAGTTAATCTAGTATCAAAAACGTTTGATTCAGCATGACACACAGTCCTCAGAAAAACACCACACAAAAGTGCCAGTGCTACCAGCTAAAACACACACATGAACCAAAAAAAATATTGGAGTAGTCCAAGATATAGCCAAAGATTGCAGCGCCACAGCACTAGTGAAAATTAAATTTGCTGACTGGAATTCTTTCGGATAACTGACTTTCAGATAAACGACGCTCTACTGTACTCGCAAAACTGTCTTCTTAATGGAGAATTCCAAGGAACAATTCTCAGATGAGGCACAAGTAAGATTTACTATGGGAAAAAAAAGACAGTCGCTATTGCAACGTAGTGGTAGAAGTCTCTCCTCAGGTTCATAAGTACTTTTTAATGCTAAACAAATTAAACATTGATTGGTCCTGTTGTTGCGTGACAGACTTTTGCCCGGTGCTTCAATGTTTCAAGTGCTATTGCTTTGGCCACAGTTCAAAAAATTGTAAACAGGAGTCCAACACATGTAGCTAATGTGCAGGAAGTCATTCTTTTAAGGAATGCCCCAATAAGGATAAGGCACTCAAATGTGTTAACTGCTGATGTGACAAAACAGGTAAAAGTAATCATAATGCCAGAGACAGCTCCTGTGTACTTATTTCAAAGTTAAAACAAACCTAATTGCTTGCACAGACTATGACTCAAACTAAGAATAAAAAACTTCAGTTTACTGCAAATCAATTTGGGCAGAGGCATCGCAGCCTCATCCCTCTTATCTTCTGAACTGCATAAATTTGACATTATTCTTATACAGGAGCCATATTGTTTCGACAACTCACTGGCCTCCTTACACCTATTGCTCAATCATCGAGGGTACAAACAACTGTCCTTGGGCTGCAATGGTGGTGGTACAGAAAAACATCTTTATTCTTCACCACCCAGACTTTAGTAACGACTGTACTGTCTGCACAGAGCTTAATATCTTCAACTCTAAATTTATCATTGTGAACATTTACTGTCCCTGGTCATAAAACCCAATCTACATTCTAAACCATCTTCAGCATATTATTCAGGAGTTCCCTAATGAGAAACTTATTTTTATGGAAGATATCAATGCCCATTCTCCAGCATGGGGAGGTGAAAGGCTGGATGGAAGAGGAGAGATGTTTGAAGAGTTCCTACTACAGAACAAAGTACTCTTAAACAATGACCCAAACTTGCCACCCACCTACTGCAACAACAGGAATCATAGCTGGATCAACATTACAGTATGTTCAGAAAACTGCTTTAGTCAAATCTCTGGATGGAGAGTTTCTGAGGAGGACTTGCTCAGCAACCACAAGTACATCTCTTTTAACTTCTACTTCCTTCCTGGTGCTGATCAAATTATTAGCTGTGGGTCTCACTACAACACTGCACATTTGGACTGGGAAGAAATAGGCAGATTTCTTTAGCAGAATACTCATACAACCAACTTGATCAACACTAAGCAAGAGGCCCTCCTTTATTTCAATAATAGTATCAAGACCATCAGTCAGGCTTGTGTACTATTAATCCTGCAATCTGCATACTGTAGAAAGGCTGTCTCATGGTGGAACCAGACGCTTTCAGACATGTGCAAAATAAATAATGCATGTTATTTATTTTGTGCATGTCTGAAATTTTGCACTCTGTGGGCTGTGGCTTTTTTGAAATCTCCAAAGGAGATTTCAAAAAAGCCTCAAGCGCAGGTATCTTTAATAACATCCTCAAGCGCAGGTATCTTTATAAAATTGAAATACTTAACTTGAAGAAACAATCTTGGAGGGAATTTTGTATGCAGGCTTCACAGAACCCATAGGGATATATAACTAAAATGTGTTGTAATAAGCTGTGTACTAACTATTCTTAATGCCATAAATGAATGCAACACTTCTTCCTGCTTGGCCAGCACAGTAAAGGTGCACCTTGACACCTTCTGTCCTGCAGATCTGGAAGACAACTGCAGTTGGCACACTGAGCTTAAGTGTGACTGTTTTCTTCCAATTCAGACACCCAACATTTCTCGTTTATCAAGCAAAGAGATTGATATGGCCTTCAGAGAGCTGAAGAGGGGTAAGGCTCCAAGCATGGACAGAATTACCTCTGAAATCAGTCAGAAAATATGGAATCTGATTCCTGAGCATCTCATTAGTATGTATAATTACTGTCTGACCTTTGGCATTTTTTCCAAACCTATGGAAAGTAGCAAGAATCATTCCCATACCGAAAGGCAACAACAGCAACAAAGTCTGTCTGATTTCTCTACTTCCAGTCTTGGGGAAGATTCTGGAAAAGCTGGTTGCAAATAGGCTCATGTGGTTCCTCGAAAACAGACAACAATCCAACAAAATGCAATATGGTTTTCAGCATCAGCGGTCCCCACCGACACCTTGCAATCTATTGTCGGCACCTTGCACAACCTGTTAAATAACAATAAATACGTCCTTAGTTTAAGCTTTGATATCCACAAGGCCTTTGACTCTGCATGGTGGCCTTTAATATTGTTTCAGCTGTGGAGCTTTGAATGCTCTAGGAACATTTATAACTTGATCAAGGATTTCCTGAACAACAGAAAGGCATGTTTCCAGTCCAGCAACCAGCTATTCCATACAGATGTTGTTTGGGGCTCCATCTGCGGCCCTCTTCTCTTCTCATCAGTGGACACTCTATGGCTGAATTTGAAACCAGGGGAATAGCATCTTAGAAAAAAATATATCAGCAGAGTCTTTAACACAAACTCCAGTTTAACATAGAGAAGACCAAGGGCATTGTTTTTAACAAGTTCAAGGTTGCTCAACCTTTATGCCCGGGTCCCAACCCTAAGAATGAATGGTCAACACATCAGTGTTGTCATGGAACTCAAGTACTTAGGGGTCATTCTGGATTTCCATGGGACCAGCATGTCAAGTACATTGCTCAGCACACTGGATGCATTTTCCTTACGTTGTTTTGAAGATCATCATTAGTCTCAAACTTCTGCCCTGCTAGCCAAGTTTTCAGTTCAGGAAAGACATGGAAGTCAATCACATATTAAAGGTGTGAAGACTTTTGCCTTTCAGACTTCCACCTAGCTTGGAACTTTTAAACACCCAGAGTACAGCCCTGATTTAGCACCGAGTGACTTCCACCTCTTTCCTGAACTAAAAACATGGCTAGGGGGGGCATAGATTTGAGACTAATGACAATTTTCAAAACAATGTTAGGGCTCATCTCAAGTCATTGGCGGCAACATTCTATGAAAAGGGGATTTCAAAGTTCGTCCACAGATAGAAAAATACCTCGATCTTCACGGTGATTATGTTGAAAAGTAATCATGTTTGTCCCTAACTTTTAGTAATAAATTCATTTTATTATTTACACTTGTCTTTGCTTTATGGACCGTCAGAGGTTGAAAAAAAAAACCATCCTTGTATGATACTTTCAGTATCCGCTCATCATGTTCTTACAAATTATTTAATATATAAGTATAACACAATTTTTATTGTATGGTTCTTGATACTAGGCAAACATTATAGTAGAATATTATTTGTTTTTAACTTGCCTATATTTCTCAATGTTCTTGTCATCATTTCATAAAAGTAAATTTTAAGACATGAATAACATCTTTGTCAATACAGTGGGTGATCGGTTAACGAACATAATCCGTTCCAAGACTTTGTTCTCTATCCGAATTGTTCGTTAACCAATTATCGATTTATCATAGGTTTTAATGGGAATTTAATTAATTCGTTCTGGAGACCGCCAAAAATAAAAAAATATATACTTTCTTACTACGTTTATTTATACGTAATAATAAAAATACATACATGCACAGTCTTGCATTTTTATTAGTCATGTTTTTTCCATTTGAAAGGGTTAAAGAATCTGTCTAATGTCGATTGCTTTTCTCTCTTCTTCAGGATTTTTCTGGTTTGGATGCCATTCTAAGATCGTTGTTCTGACATCTTCCCACTTCTTAAGATCTTTAATAGCAAATATAGGCATTAATCCTCTTTTTCAGAAGAAAACATATCTTGCCGAGTTTCCTGGTGTTCTTCATTCAAGAGTTTTTGACGTACTTTTGTCGTCAGATCCGTTTCAGGTTCCATTATGAACTCTTCGATGTTCTTTATTTTTCAGATGTGACTTTTGTTACTCCTTTAGCTGCTTGAGTCTTCTTGATTATACAGTATTTTTCTTAAATAAGATTGAACTACGGCCTACTGTAGACCTGTTCACGCCATACTGCCCAGTAACATTAGGCATCTTCTGCCCACTTTCTACCTTTGCTATTATACTCTCACCTTTTGAAAAGAAAAAAGAACAGATGCAAAACTTAACTTGTGCCTACCTGACAGTCTCGCGAATACATAAAAGAATTGTTTTGTCAGAAAAATAAAAGGCTGGAATTACAAGGGAGAGTTTCAAAGTTCGGAGGAATACTATCCGATCGGTATATACCGGCTTGAGCGTCGATGTCGACGTCTCCCACACTCCGAAAAGTTTCGAATTGTTGCCCGAAGACAAGAGAAGACCAATTGGTATTCATTATTTTACGTCGCTTCTTCTTGTGTTCATTCTGTGCGGTGTTCGTTATCTGATCATGTGTTCGTTGTCCGAACATAAAAATCTTTCGCAAAAGTGTTCGTTATCCAATCTGTTCGTTAACCAATCATCCACTGTATCTGTCTATATTAACATTACTTTATTGTCAGAATTGTTCTTTAATTAAAAAGTTATATATGAATTGTTTATCAAAAAGATAATTATTTTTACTCAGTTTTTTATTGATAATGAAGTAACTTGGATTTTGCTAAGTTAACTTTCATCAAGACAGACAAATCTAAGTATGTGTTGCTTTATGTAATTTATCATTACAGATTTTTTAATTTAGTGATTAACTAATGTGTAAATTTTTCTAAAATCATTCATCAGAATCAGATTATTCTATTTAAATTATATTTTTTGTCTTTTACTTTTTAATATTGCTAAGATTAATATTTTCTGAATTTATTTTTGTTATGGGATAACTGATATTGAATGATAACAGAATACAGTAGAGCGTCGTTTATCCAAAGGTTGGTTATCCGAAACGTCGGTTATCTGAAGGAATTCCAGTCGACAAATTTAAATTTTCACCAGTGCTGTAGCGCTGTAATCTTTGGCTATGTCTTCGGCTACTCAAATATTTTACGTTTTTGATACTAAATTAACTTCTGAAGTATAATTTTTTATTGTTTTTATATTTTTCAATATATTTATTTTGTTTGTACAAAATAAAAAAATAATTTTTAACGATACAATAGTCTTCGTTAGGCTTAACATCGACGAAAATTCAACGCGAAGCGACACGCAACGGAGAAAAATTTCAACACGGGATAAATTAATATATTTTTTCGTACATAATTGGTTATCCGAAAAATAAGTTATCCGAACAAC